ATTAAGGGTGTGCACCACCACCACCTAACTTCTGGCTGCTAGCATTAAAGGTGTGTGTCCTTACTGCCTGATCTCTATAGCTTGAGGCCGACTTTGCTTTTCTGAATCATCAGGTGAGCTTTAATAAATCATAAATACCATATCGCCACAAATTATGAATGTTAGTATTAGTTATTAGTTAACATTAGTACCTTTTTTGACTTAAATTCCATGAGCGTTTCACATAGCAAGGCAACAACCATTGTCTCATGTAATAATACAGGAAGCCAGAAACGCAAGTGAGGATGTTTTCATGTGTCCACCATGTATGAAACTGACATGGAATGGCGCTTCTTGGGCAGTTTTCTGGACTAAACCCCCCAGGGTTGAGTAACTTGAGAATGTCTGTCAGGGCTTGCTGTGGCTCCTCGGGTCTCCTGCCCGCAGTGTTCCGCCTTCACTCTCCTGCATTTGCCTCTGCTCAGGCCTCTGGCTTCCCGGTGCCAGCTGTGTGCTGAGCCCATGAGCAGGCCTCGAGATCCACGACACACACACACACACACACACACACACACACACACACACACACACACACACAGACACGTACGTACGTATGTCAGAGAGTGCTGGTTTGCTGCCTTTCTGCACTGTGGGGTCTTTGCAGTGGAATGTGCACTGCCCTTCCTCCCCTACAGATAGGAGGTTGTGCTTGCACAGCTGGGATGTTGGCAGCTTCTTCTTGTTCCTAAGCAGCTGTTGTGGGACTCCTTCCTCAACAACCGGTGTTCAAAAGAGGCGGGAGCGTGTGACTCGATGATGAAGGTGGAGGCTACTCAGCTGATACCTCCACGATGGAAGAGACTGTTTTATTATTTGTCTTCCTAAAAACATAACTGACCAGAAATTAGAGTTAGCCATTTGAATTTGAGATAGCTTGGGTCTACAGCCCGTAGGGAAGCGAAAACAGCTCTCTGGATTGAACATTTCTATCACACTCCCCATTCCAGAAAAGAAACACAGTTTTGCCAGGCCTGGGGAGACACCCTGTGCTTCCAGGACTTGGGAGGTAGGGACAGGAGTATAACCTAACTACAGAGTGAGTTTGAGGGCAGCCTGGGCTTACCTGACACCCCATCTCAAAACAAGAAGGCATTCCTTATGAAATACAATCATTCAAGAAAATTGTCTATCATTTTTTAAACAAGCTCGCATTTAATAAGTCTGAAGTTATTCTCAGCACATAGCATTGTACACGGGCATCTTTGGAAACATTTTAACGGGTCGTAGACTTAAAAAGTCATAGATACTGTGAGTTCTGTATAAATGGGTGGATGACAATTCAGCTCCTTTTGATTTGTAAGCCACAGTGTCACTGCAGAATAAAGAATGTAGCCAAAGAAAGCGCTATCTGTCACTCCTATAGGACAGTGTTGTTTCTATAATTTGAAGCTTTCTGAATGGACGGGTTCAGGCCTGATCCAACTGTAAAAAGATTACTCAGTGAATAGACTATCTGGGAATTGTACAAAGTGCCATTAACTTCCATCATTAATAGCTAACCCAGCACTCTATCACTTCTGCTATTTAATATAAAAACCTGCTTCTGAGTCCCCTCGGAGGTGGCCTGTGCACCACATGTCCAGGGCGTGCCAATGCAGTCCAACAGAAACTTTGCCTTTAGGATGAAATGACAAACATTGAGTAGAATGGCTTTAATCGTCACTAAGTGTGCGGTGGGAGGGAGTGTGCTTCAGACAGTCTGGGCAGCATGGGCAGCAGGTAACGTCTGCTGCTGACATTGCAGACATTATCTGTACGTGACAAGACAAAAAGAAAAAGCAGTCCCTTTCAAACAAACTTAAAAAATTGTTCACAGTGGTTTGTATCAACAGAATGCATTTGTGACAATTACATGTACAGACTCACGTACCCTAGGGCTTTCTGTATAACCTAAAGAAAGCAAGCATTTACGTTATTCATGATTTATACTAAATTTTAAAAAGATCAATTTTCACTTGCCCCTGGGACAGTATAACCTGTATAGTATAGCACCGCCATCAGAGTTGTCTGCAAAGGGAACAGAGGTTAAAAACAACGCTTTCTTGAAAACGACATGCTTCCACTCACTGCTATAACCAGCCAGTGCCAGCGGTCACCAAAATGGAGAAGGGCCCGGCGGGTCGACCTGGGCAAACCGCCAAGGACACATTACAGTTTTAAAAATGAAGGTTTTGTAGCTATGTTACAAGTCCCAACCAGGCAGTGTCAAGTGACATCTATTTCCTTGCTTGCATTGTGATCATACCCCTTGGCAGTGTGACGGGTCTCGTTGGTGTTGGGCTACTCCTTCTCTGCAGGATTTAAAATCTGGAAGGAGCACATGAGGGTTTCATCCACACTTATCATGGTGCCTGCATTGTCAGACTCGCCACGGTAGTTGGGTGTAGAACACAGAGTGACTAACCGTCTCTTCCCAAAAAACTCAGACCCGTCTTCAACCACCTCATGGGCTCTACATGTGAGATTCAGATCATGCTTATGGAGGGATTTTGCAGCCACTTCTGCATCAAATGTGAAGGACACTCCTCTGTCATTTTCACCCCAGCCTAAGACATCTTTATCAGGGTCAGATCACAAAAAGTCACAAAGAAGTCCTTGATCTGGTCCATCAGTTGGTCTCACAATTCGCCAAATCTGTTCCATAGATTGAAGACCTGGTCAGAAACCTCCACCACAGCAGCATATCTCCTCATCCACGACGGCTGCTTGCCGGTAAGCAGTTAAAACCGTCTGTGAACGTTTTCCACAGCTCAACGTGGTGCCTGCTTTTGCATCCATCATAAAATCCATCGGTTTTATCAATGCCAGCACACTCATGGTTCCCTCTGAGAAGGAAAACGTTCTCAGGATTCTTGATTTTTGTCTGCCAACAAGTGGCAGATTGTCTCCAGCGATCACTTGCCGCTGTCCACATAGTCCCCAAGAAACAAATAGTGGCTTTCTGGCCTGAAGCCACAGTATTCAAACAGCCGGAGCAAATCCTAGTACTGCCCGTGGATGTCACCACGTACCTGGAGTGGCACTCTAAGCTCCATAAGGACAGGCTGTCTCAGGAAGCTGTCCCGAGACTTCAAGCAGAGTCCTTGGATTTCCTTCTCCTGTAGCTGGACATTCTTGCCTGGCTCGGACCCCTCACTTCCAGCAGCCTTTGGATGATGCTATCGATGTTGAGTTTATCAATATCCACCATGACCATCCCAACCCCCCCACCCCCCTCCCACAGCAGCACTGCCACAGGCTCGCACCCAGGCCTCACAGGCCCTCCAGGAGCCCCATAAGCAGTGGCAGCCGCAGCCTTGGCAGCAGCAGCTGCAGCGGGTCCTCCCCCCCCCCAAACCCCCAGCCGCCCCACTCCTGGCTTCCTACTCCTCTTGCCACTGGAACCACGAGCCTGTACCGTTCTTTAATGAAACATTTTTATGCCAAGGGTGGTGGCACACCTTTAATTCTAGCAATTGAAAAGCAAAGGCAGGTGAATCTCTCTTAAGTTCAAAGCCAGCCTGGTCTACATAATGAGACCCTGTCTCAAACTAAACAAGACACCGAAAAGGATTTTTTTTAAGCTAACAAATGGTAAATTTTGCCATAGGAAAACTGGAAACTTACGGTATCTAGTCCAGCTCAGAGGCTTAATTTTGGTTTCCCTGTCCCTCGCTCCCTATGCTTCTAAACTAGGTTCTCAGCCTGGGACCAGGGCAGCTTCAGGAGCAGTGTCATCTTGGGTGAGCACTCCGTCTTTTCCCTCCCTCAGGCAGGCACCGGCCTCACCCTCTGCTCTGCTAGGACCTGATGCGGGGCTGGGACTTCAGCTCCACACCTCCCATCGCAACAGAACCCACTCTCTGAGCCTGGGACCCACCCAGAGGTCTAAAACATATTTTTAGTTTTGTTTAAAAAAAAAGAAAAGAAAAAAAAATGCTTGCCTGTTTATTTAGGACTTCAATGCCTGTTGTTTCCAACCGAATAAGTCTACTTTTAAAACAGAGATTAGGAGATTTGGCTCCCTTTCCTTTTGCTGGCGAATATGCCAAAGGTCTGTTTCCCATAAGATGTGCCTGCCTCCAGCTTGCCGTTCCGACTGTGAGTAGTTTATCATACCATAGGTCTGACAGCAGAGCGTGTGCTGAGGAGCCCTGGTACGCGTCCAGGGTGTCGGAATCTATAAATAGCACACAGAATGGGGATATGGTAGGGCCACACGGTGCTAAGAGGAGAAAGGAGAGAACCGGCAGCGTGTAAGCATGTCCAGGGAGGGGTACGTCGGCACCAGCCCTCGCTGGCTTTTCCCTCTTACAGGGGTGACACCTCATGTCCCCTTCGCGGCTCCAGGCATCCACGTCATACCGTTCCTTCTCACAAGCCCCGCCACCCCTTAGGAGCACAGACCTAACCACCTAACCTCCACCTTTCACCTGGGGGGGCACACAAGCATCCTGGGGGGGCAGGCTTAAGTGTCTCAGTTGCTCAGAGCCACCATCTGCTTCCACTTGCCTTGCGGTCCCAGAGATCATGCTTTGGCCCATGGCTACTGCAGCATGTCCAGAGGATGTGGAGTTTTGTCAGCCAGTGAAATATGTCTGGCTTTTTTTTCCCTACACCCCCCCCCCCACCGGCTCTCATTCGCACCGCATCCTGTGTGGTCTCTCTTCCCTACTGGACTGAATTACTGTTTAACACAACTATTTACTCTTCTTTATCATTTTCTATGACTTGGCTTTTTAAAGAAGGTGTGTAGAAGTTGAGCCAAAACAAAAAAATAAAAAAGTGTAGTATCGACAGCCATAAAGCCTAAAGATAGATGCTTAATGTCCCGTGTCAGCGGACCCCACTGCCGTGCGTGTGGGTTCTGGAGTGCAGATTGCCCTACTTGAGACGCGGAACTGTCAAACGCTCGCATGCCAGGAGTCAGCGCCAGGGATTGTCTGATCCAAATAACATTTTTTTCCTTTGCTTGTGTTTAGGCACTTCTGCAGTCTTCAGTTAAGCAACAGCTAGATGCCATCGAGAAACAGTACGTGTCTGCCATCGAGAAACAGGCTCACAGGTGTGAGGAACTGCTACACGCTCAGGTATCGGTTAACCACACACTTCCACACATCAGCGCTCCCCTCTGCCTCCTCCCCAGAGTGCTGTCGCTTCTCTGTCAGCTGTCGGCCGTTCGTGCTCCGTGATGCATCTAGGCAGAAAAGTACACTTGAATAAACGCAGCTTGTTAGTTTCATGACAAACTCAGAATAGGGCCACAGGCCTACGTTACGTGGGTTTCCCCCAATCCACGATTACTTTATTTCCATTTCTGGGTTATATTAAGCTTCCCACAGTCACAAACAAAGTCACAGACAAAGAGATTGCCAAGTGTTTCAGTGTCTGAATGACTGTTGTGACAGATTCACAAATGATGTTCAGGTTGTAAAGTTGATTATTAATGGATAGAGGTAAAATATCTAACACTAACAGGGAAACAGTCTGTTCACTTTGGTGTTTTTCATTGTTTTGTATAAGCACTGGTTTCTCTTTGAAGCAGAACAATAAGCTACTTCTTTTGATGTTTTTAAAAGCCAGAACAATAAGCTACTTTACATTAATTAAGCCATTAATTGAAGAGCCTTTATAGGTGTACCATGGTCAGTAATGTGTTTAAGATACTTCTTATAATGTTTTATAATAGGATAGGAAGAAAATTAGACTCAAATAGGAATCTATTTTGTTAAAGATTGTTTTTCTGTCTCTGCCCTCCAAATGGTGCAAATTTGTAACCACCTGTAATATCATCTCAGGGGATCCAATACGTCTGGCCTCTACAAGGACTTGTATATTACGCACACACATACTTACTTAAAAACGATGAAAAAAAAGAGAGAGAAAGAAAATCAGGCCAGAGGACCATTTTGGGTAGCTACCTCTTTGGCATCTTACTGTTTCATTATACTCTGCTCTGCTTGCTAAAGACGAAGCCAAATGACAGTTGGGTGTGTTTCTGTACACTATATTTGGAATTCTCAAATAGAGGGAATCGTGCATGTTATGATGGTGCTGAGGGTGCCTGGAACAAACACCCTTCAGCCATGGGTTGGAGCATAGAGGGCTTCCTAAGTTGTCTGACACCTACCAGAGGTGACCTGTGTTCCTGTTTGTCCCAATTTCTTCTACAAATATCTTTCACCTATTCACCTATTCACCTATTTCAGTCCTTTCACCTATTTCAGTATGTGGTGTGTTGAAAGTGTTTAAAGTAGATCAAACTCCTGTTTTTAAATTTATGAATACTTGTCTTAGGGTTTTATTGGCTGAGATGAGACCATGGCATGACCCCAGCAACTCTTATGAAGGAAAACATTTTACTGAAGGTGGCTTATAATTCAGAGATTTAGTCAATTATCATCATTTAGTATAGTACTAATAATAAAAGATCCAGAGACAGATAATGGGGTTCAAGCTTCAAGCTAAAGAAAAGCCAAGCAGCTGGCCACTAGCTCTTAACTCTACCTCAAGTCCCAAAAGAGTGATCCTGTGTTCACGAGTTCCCTTCCCACCAAGCCTCAGACTGCTGCCTCTCTTCAGTGAGGCTGGAGATTAAATCTCAGAAAGCCTCCTGAGATTTATATACTTCTCTAGGGCTGGGACTAAAGGCATGAGATCTGTTAATCTTTTAGACTAACTCAGTCCTTTAGCCCAGCATGGCCTTGAACTCACAGAGATCCATCCTGAGTGCTGGGATTAAAGGTGTGTGCCACCACTGTCTAGCTTCTATAGCTAACTAGTGTGTGGCTGACTTTGCATTCTTATACTTTAGGCAATCTTTATTAAATCATAAATATTACGTCACCACAACGGTGCTGGAGCAGGAGCTGAGAGTTCTCTGTCTGCATCCTCAGGCAGCAGGAAGAGCAAGTGCACTACTGGACCTGGCCTGAGCTCCTGAAGCCTCCAAGCCCACTTCCTGTGACACACTTCCTCCAACAAAAGTACCAGGACACTCCCTGTGGGGTCATTTCACTCAAACCGCCATGACACAATTTTCCAGTTTTTTGTTTTGTTTTGGTTTTTTTGTCTAAGAAAAGATAATCTTCCATATCTGAATCTCCTTAATGTGTGTGTCGGAAAACAGCTAATGTGTATGTGGACTCAACTGCCTTCCGTCTGTCCTGCGTTCCCACCCTGTGCAGACATTGTGCCCTCCACATCCTTCCTGTAGTCCAGAATTGCTTGGCGACTTGATGTCTTAGGTTTCTGAGTCAAGGTTGTAAGCACTGTGAATTTTTATAACAAAGCAGGTTGGCATGTTGATGAGGTCTGAGTGTTAGGCTTGGGGTGCGGTGTCTTGGTTGCACTGGGTGAGCCTGTGTGTGAGCAGGGTAGACCACTCACTGCTCGTTCAAGGCTTTCGCTTATTGCTCTACTTCTTCAGTGTTTGGGACTAGCGTACTGGTTTTGTTTGAGGCTTTTCATGATTGAAAAACTGTGTCGTCATCCCCTCCTCCATTTTCACTTACCCAGTTAGTGTGTGTTGCTGCTACATAAAAATGCACGTCATCATTTTTATATCCCGTAATGATCAAATACCACTTACCAGTTTTAGCGGGTTTTCTGGTAAAAATCCATGTGATTTCTGAGTGTAGGACACTTTTGCATCTTCCCTCTTATTCTTGATGTTGTCATAGTTGTTTTCCCTGACGCTGTGATGAAGCATCACCACCAGGGCAAGGAAGGAGGAGTCTATTTGGACCTCAGGTTCCAGATGGTCTATGATGGAGTAACAGCTTGGAAGATGGAGTAGGAAACTCGCATCTCAGACCATAAATGCGGAGCAGAGCCAACCGAGAATGGAGGAACTCTTGTCCTCTCAAAGCCCGTCCCTCTACTGACACACTTCCCGCAGCCAGGCTGTGCCACCCACACCTCCCCCAAAAGTGCCACCACCCAGGGACCCTGTGTTCAGACCCCTGAACCCGGGGGGGGGGGGGGACACAGACGGACGGGACTTCTTATGTTGGGACCACCTCAATGGCTTCCCCATCCTCACCTTATGGTGTTAAAGTAGGAGATGAGGGCAGGGATGGCGTGGTCTTTGCACCGCCACAGGTCTTTGCACCACGGGTGTAACTGCAGCTGTGACTGTCCTCGGCAAAGCTCCGTGGGAAGCTGAGCTGCTTTCAAAGGGGCTCTTGTACTCTAGAAGTAGATGTTGGGTCTCATTCTTCATCTGACCACACGTACTTCCTTTGGATAAGTGTATTTGTGCTGAAGCCTTACAGAACACCCCCTTATTGTCCTTTCAGTAACGTGGACATTTTGGTTGTGTCTCTTGTGATCAGATATTGGTAATCTGTGTCAAGTTTTACTGTCCTTGCTAATCTGTTAGAGAGAATGATCAATGTTTTGGAACTCCTCAGGGAATCAGTCGATGAGACTTTGGGTTTTATTGACCTCCGTTTTTATTTTTTATGTCTTGGCAACTCATTTCTACTCTAAAATTTACTGTTGAAACCTTTGGGTTCAGTCAGCCGGTTTGCATTCACTTGACTCATCAAGCAGGGCCTCGGGTCACGTGACCATCAGTAGAGGCCTTGTTAAGTCGTTGTGGACCTGCTCTAGAGGTAGGGAGTTTATCTTCAAAATCACGTTTTGATTTTAGTTAAATGACTTTGTCTTGTAACTGGGTCCAGAAGTGTTTTTATTGTCTTCCAGATATTTTGATGTTTTGCAGATGTATTTATTTTACTGGTGTAGTGCGAGAACACACTTCATGTGGTTTTGATATATTTTTGAGGTCTGTTTGATAGCCCAGAATGTGTTGACTTTTTTTTTAATGTCATCATTTAGATACAAGTCTTTTTGTTGTCCTGTTCAGGACTTACGTATTTTTATAATTTCCTGTCTGCCTGCCTTGCAATTGTCAAGGGGAAGGCACTGAAACACTTGACTGTATTTACAGATTTGTCTAGTTTTCTGTGCTTGTCGGTCAAGTTTTAACCTTTTCTAGAACATTTGACATACAAACAGTTGAGGCACATACATGAGCACATACATGAGAATTATACACTCTTCATGTAGTTGTCCCTTTACTGTTATGAAATGTCTTTTATTCTAGTGACATGTGTTGCAATGAGGTATACAAATAACCCATTTTATTTTGATTATTGTTAGTTGAGCCATCTCCCCAGCCCTAGATGGTCTTATCTTTTAAGTAGCATTTTTTTTCTTTCTTTCTTAAATATTTTCTCCTTTTTTAAAATTTAAACTAGAAACAAGCTTTTTTTACATGTCAATCCCAGTTCTCCCTCCCTCCTCTCCTCCCCTGCCCCCCTACCCCCATCGCATTCCCTTTCTGCTCCCCAGGGAGGGTGAGGCCTTCTATGGGGGATCTTCAAATTCTGTCTTATCATTTTCAGCAGGGCCTAGGCCCTCCCCCGTGTGTCTAGGCTGAGAGAGTATCCCTCTATGTGGAATGGGCTCCTAAAGTCCCTTCATGTACTAGGGATAAATACTGATCTACTACCAGAGGCCCCATAGATTGCCCAGCCATCCTCACTGACACCCACGTTCAGGGGGTCTTTATAAGTTCTATGCTGGTTTCCCAGCTATCAGACTGGCATCCATCCATGACCTCCCCCTTGTTCAGGTCAGCTGTTTCTGTGGGTTTCTCCAGCCTGGTCTTGATCCCTTTGCTCATCACTCCTCCCTGTCTGCACTGGATTCCAGGAGTTCATTAAGCAGCATTTCTTAATGTTTTTACATGGGCTGTAATTACAATTCAGGAGTAGTTCAATCTGTTCTGCACTTGTTTACATGGGCATCAGGTGAGTCCCAAGCAGTTTATCATCAAGAGCCATGCCCCCTGGGGAGCCCCATTCAATGCTGCCTGGAATTCTCTATTTCCTTTTGCTGGGGCACTGACTCTGCTGTACTTAGGTGGATGCTGGATGCCGCAGAGCCTCCTGCTCCTGGGTCTGCTCGGTCTCTATGGCCCTCTCTACTGACTCTCTGCTGGATACACCATGCTTTGTCCTCTCTAGAGCAGCCTGCGTGTCTTGGTTGGTGGACCTAGGCACACTCTGCCTTGCCTGAG